CACCCAGGCTCCCCCAAACTCCCTCCTAGTCGGCCCCAGGCCTCCCCACACCCGGTCTCAGCCCTCCCAAGACCCCCCAACCTCCTCCTCAGCCTCTCCATTGCCCCCCAGTGTGCCTCCCAGTGTCCCCAGTGCTCCCCCTGCCCCCGCTGCCAGTGTCCCCCCGGTGCTGGGGGGGCCAAGTCATACCCCAGCACCTGCTGAGGGGGTGCTCCAGACTGACGTGCTCCACCTGGCAGGTGTAGGTGAGCCTCCCCACCAGCCTCAGCCGCTCGGTGCCGTTGATGAAGTGACACTCGGCCTTTCTCAACTCCTGGAACACCCCTGTGTGTGCAGGACATGGCTCAGGGGGTGTCTCCCCCACACCCCCATCATCCCCCAGCCCCTGCCACCACTTTGAGAGCTCAGGGGGCCACCCTGGACTCCCCCTTTCCACTCCCCTCTGCCCCACGCCCCCCACAGCACCGACTCTTGGTTGGGGGGGAATCCTTCCATCAGCCCCCCGGGGATGGACAGGGGGGTCAGAGATACCCCCCTGCCCCCAGTGCGGATCCGCCCTCCCCCCTCCTCGAGCCCCAGAAAAACACTTCAGGGCTTTAATGATGGGGGACACCGAGGGACCCCCATGGCACTCCTCTTCTTGCTCTCCTACCTCCCTTTTCCCCCTCTCCCACCCCTTTCCCACTGTCCTCCCAATCCCCAGACCCCCACCTTGCTCAGTTTGGGGCTCCTACTTCCCTCTCACTAATTCCGAGGGTTCCAACCCCCCTCGCACTCACTTTTAGGGTTCCCAACCCCTCTTTTCTCTCCTCTTTCCCCCTCCCGCCCCCCCTGCTCACCCGAGAGCTCCTCGCCCGCAGCCGGGGGGGCTCCCAGCACCACCAGTACCACCAGTACGGCCCCAGCTCCCCGCACACGCTCCATCCCCAGCTCCGGGCAGGGGCTGACACCCCAAAACCAGCCGGGTGGGGCCGTTTTGGGGGGTTTTGGACGCGCTCTGATTGGCTGAGGGCAAAATCGGGGCCCGTTTTGCGTCGCGTCTTCCTGGCAACTGATGAGTCATCAGCATATCGCGCTTTGATTGGCCAGAGCTGAGCGGGAGCTTTCTGATTGGCTGAGGCCGTTGGGGGCGCTGCAGCCCCGGGGGTGGGGGGTTCTGGGGGGTCCGTGGGGTGGACCCGGTTGGGAACAACCCCCGATCTCCCCCCGGGGCCCGAGGGCGGAGCGGACCCGGTTGGGAACACCCCGCTCGTCTCCGCCGCTGCAGCCGCTTCCCCTGCTCCGGCTG